AAGTCAAAGCTAAACATGGAAGTGACTAAGTTTCATAAACCTCCAACACCAATAACTTCATATCGTAAGTTGAATTTTGAGAGTCAATATAGAAAGATTACACGGAGAAGACTTGGTAGAAAATTGGAAAGTGGGATTTAGTTCGACCACATGCCAAATTTGCTTACAACGTGAAGAAGCTCTATGATAAACTAGCAAAATGTAACTTAAAACCTGGTGAGCATCCGGTCCCCTTTTTTTTTTTCCCTTTGTGTCCTTATTCTTATTATAGCAACTCTTGCGCCATCTATGGAAGCTATTAGACTCGAGGACGAGTCTTTTTCAACCAGGGGAGAATGATGCAAGATCAAGAATGCTAAAAATCCAAGAAATTCAAGAAGCTTATTTCTTATTACCTAGTAATTTAATTCTTGTTTTAGTAGGGTTATATTTGTAGTTCTAGTCAAACTAGGATTGTTAGTTGGTATCCCATTCCTACTAGAATTCTTTTTCCTATTTTAGTTAGGATATGTTTTCTTAGCCTTATTCTTATTCTAGTCTAATTAGGATTAGTTTTCCTTAACCTTACCAATTTTACTCATTGTAAGGCCTATTTAAAGGGCTTAATATGCTGAAAATAAACATTGGTGATTAGTTTTTCTAAGCTATTGCTTCAAAAACGTGATTTACTTTTTGTTTCATTGTTCTTCCTTTATTCAACGCTTCTTGCAATCTTGCGGGATTGGGAACGTGTGGGTGAGGTTTCTTTCCATCTTACATTCTTCTAACGTGAGTTTGAAGAACGCTTTCGCTAGTTTTGTGAAAAACAAAACTTTAGCGTAGTGCTTTTGTTTTTCTCTCTTCTTTGTACTTGAGAGGTGCAAAACCTTGAAAGTACATCACTTTTGTGGCAATGTTATTTACTTAGTCATATCTTCACCATGCCTCATCACCTGTGGACTGATCTCTTTTCCGTAGACCAAGCACGTAAAACTTTTTTTGGACAACCCAAGAGATCTACATGCTAGATCTACCTAGTGAATTGAACTGTTGGAAAAGAAATATATCTATTTAACAGTTTTATTTTAGGTTGCCACAAATGAGCATGGTATAGTAACAGTTCTTCATTGATTAAATTGACACACTGAGATATTAGTCAAGGTTTGTGAATCTCTTTATTGTTTTTCTGAGCTTTCTAATCTCATTTCTTTCATTACCATGTTCACCACTTTCCAAAATAGAAAAATGTAACTCATATTTGCAGATGCTATCTAATTAGAGGCCTAAGATTGCGTCTTGCATATTTTGTGTGGTTACACATCTTTGGTTTAGCTTGATATTTGAGAAGAAAAAGATATATTGATAGATAGATATTCATTTAATTGTTTCATGTATTCAAATTTTATTTCCCATATGGAAAATATGGTAGACATTTGTGATTGGTTGTTCCAGGGTTTCGGACCAAACATCGCCTTTTTTAAGGTTGTTCCCTATCTTCGACTGGACAAAAGAAGGGGTAGGGAAGGGGGTTTTCTGATTAACCTGAAACCTTTTATGCTCATTTCATTTGGCTCGAAAACGTTGCTCGATATTGCATAACCTTGTTCACATTTTTCATTATCCTTGTAAATTGACTGTTGGACCCTAATGCTCATTGGTGGTACTCTATACATTGATAGTTTCTGTTTCATAAATTGACTGGACTTGCATGAATCCAGGAACCAGTGCTGAGCAGTGTAACTGTGGGCGTTTCCCATTTTGAGCGTTGTGACCTTTGGGTTCAAGTACTTTACTATCCCTTTTATGGTTTCCTGCCGATTATGAAGACTCTAAAGAGGATCCACAAGTTATGAGACAAAAGAAAAGCCTGAGACCTAAATTAGGAGAACCCGTCATTTTGAGATGTCAGCCATACAAAATTCCTCTGACCGAGCTTCTTTTGCCACATAAAATTTCACCAGTTGAATATTTTCGTCTATGGCCTAGTTTGCCTGCTATAGTTGAGCGTACTGGTACATATACATATGAAGGAAGCGGTTTCATGGCTACTGCTGCTCAACAATATGGGGAGTCTCCATTCCTGAGTGGCCTGAAATCTCTGTCTTCCAAACCTTTCCACCGAGTTTGCTCACACATCATCCGGACAGTTGCTGGATTTGAGGTCAGTAACTTTGTTTTTAAAGGAACGTCTTCTGATTTTCTTTGGGAATGTTTTACTATGTTGGATTTAGAAGCCACATTTAAGTTTTTCAGGCACTTCTAATTGGGTATTTTACATATGAAGATTGACCTTTCCTTTCTGCTTGGATTAATGCATTCCATTTTCTCCTTATCTCATTTGCTGCTTGGTATTGAGCAGCTCTGTTTTGCTGCTAAAACCTGGTATGGAGGGTTTTTGGGCATGATGGTTTTTGGTGCAAGTGAAGTGAGCAGAAATGTGGATCTTGGCGACGAGACGACCACAATGATGTGCAAATTTGTGATCCGAGCATCAGATGAATCCATTACCAAGGAGATTGCTTCAGATTTTCAGGGTTGGTTGGATGACCTAACTGATGGTGGTGTTGAGTACATGCCTGAAGATGAAGTAAAGGTGGCTGCTGCTGAAAAGCTAAAGATTTCAATGGAACGGATAGCATTACTAAAGGCGGCAAGACCTCGCCTGAAGTCTCCAAAATCTGATGATGAAGAAGAAGAGGAGGAAGACGAAGATGATGAGAACCAAAAGAAAGAAGACATGATTAACGTTGAAAATGGTAAAACTAAGGGGCCAACTACTTTATTTAAGTGGTCGGCAGAAGAGGTTGAGCATCGGGCACTTCAAGCAGCTGTAATTCAGGAATGGCATATGCTCTGTAAAGATAGGGATGCCAAAGTAAATTGATTTTGCATACTTTCTTCGCCATTTTTGTTTTGATAATTTGATTTAGGTAGTTGGTTGAGATGAGTTCTAAGTTTGTTTTCTATAATTCTAATTTGTTTCTTTTGTCCCAGTTTTGTAATTTTTCTGTATCTTTTTGAAGCACTCTGAGGCTGTAAATTAAGAAGGCCTGACGCCTTATACCATCTTGTACCTTCATCCTTTCTCTTCTCTCTTGTGTACTTTCTATTACCATCTTTTTACTTTTGGAAACTTAATAACTACCAATCTGTGTCTGAAAAAAGAATAAACTGTTGTCTGCTTCCTTTGGTCCTAATAGTTGGCAAATATATGGTTTCCTGGAATATGTAGAGGATAGATATCTTAGTTGTTTGCTTTTTTCATCGCAATCCCATCTAATCTCATGTGCACTTTGCAAATCTTATGTTGGGTAAACTTGCAGTGCATATATATTATGTTTTAGTTACTTTGCTAAAGTGGAGCATGTTTGCTCTCACTAACAGATCTATATTAAAAGCTAACGGTGCTATCCCTCTGACTCTCACGTGGTGATTCCCCTCTAGGTTCTGCCTTCTTCATTTTCTTCATGCCTTGTCCATTTTCTTAGGATATGGTCAAGCAAATCATTCAAGTGTATGACTGGTTTTGTTATAAATAGTAGCGAATTCAGGTACATAACTTGTTAGAATCCATAGTCAAGCAAACCATTAGTTGATACAGCAAAACCAAAACTAAAATAAAGAGTCACTAAAATTATCTCCTTCATAGAGAAATATGTTAAAACATCTGAGAAACCATGAAAAGCCTAACAGAAGAAGAGGCAGATCTAAGAAAAGCAATAGTGAGAACCAAACCCAGCAGCTGGAATCCTATTTAAAAACCCAATTGCGTTAACAAAAGTAATGTTAAAAAATACTCCTCACTGTTTTGTGACCAGAAAAAATAGAGCTGTTAGACAACTATTCTTGCGACTCTTTTACACCAGCCTTCAGCAGCAAAATGAACCCTTTACAGCAACAAAGCTGTTCTTTTATACTCCCTCTATTTCATATTAAATGAGTTAGTTTAACTCGGCACGGAGTTTAAGAAAAAAGAAGACTTTTGAAACTTGTGGTCTTAAAAGCTTAACGGGTAAAAAGTTTGTGGGGCCATGACATTTGTATGGCTATAAAAGCTTCTTATAAAGGGTAAATGAGTAAAATGAAAGAGTTTAAAGTTGAATTATTTCCAAATTTAGAAATGTATCATTTGTTTTGGAACAGACTAAAATGGAAAGTACCTTATTTAATATGAAACGGAGGGAGTAGCAGCAAAAAAAACCCTTTCAGACCAACAAAAAAGACCAAACTTCAGCAGCAAAACTAATCTTTTTCAGCAGCAACTTACATACCAAAACCCAAATAGTATTCTTTGCTAAAATCGAATCACAATTGGGTATTCCACTACCATGGGATCAAATAATCATTACTGGAGATGAAGAATAAAGCTTCTTCACTTGAGTTATTTTCTTGTTCCCGTCAATCGAGCTTTTTTCCAGAGGGGCTTAGGCTTTTGGTAAAGGGTTTATTTGGGGGGAATCAGGAATGGAGTTAGTCTTTCACCGCGGGTTCAGTGTTTTACAGTCACGTGAGAGTCACAGGGGATAACACCGTTAGTTTTCAACATGGGTCTGTTAGTAAGACCAAAGATGCTACACTTTTAGCAAAGTTGAGGGATTAAAGATGCTCTGAGTTATATTTGGAGGACAAAAATAGACCTACTCCAATAGATAAGGGACAATTTTAGTCAAAAACTCTAGTCTTACCTGTCTTAAAATACTTATACTTTGGAGTGCTTTTCCACAGTTCAACCTTTTGGTTGACACTTTCGCTAATCTGTCAACTAACTTTTATTTGCAAATTAGCTCTCTCTATATCTAGGATAAATATGGATGAGCTAAATAAAGAATCCATCCGTTTAACTCCTTTGTACCTATTGGTGCTCCGGATCTCTTATTTCTTGACTTAATCGGTTTATTCATTGCCTAGTTGGTTGGTGATGTAAAACCACTCAAATTCTTAACGTTGGAGAATGAATTTGACTTTGTGGCAAACTATTTGGGGGGGGGGGGGGGGGTGGTTTAGACAGAGAGACTTGGTCCTAATACAGCCTTACTAGTGTTTATTGAACAGCATAATGTCTTGATACAGACGTACATCAGTGTTTTTTTTGCAATGACAAAAAAGTTGAAGTGCTCCATGGCAAACAATTGGGGGGGGGGGGGGGAGAGGGAGACAGACTTGTCCTAATACAACCTTACTAGTGTTTATAGAACAACATCATGTCTTGATACAGATGTACATCGGTGTTTTTTGCAATGACAAGAAAGTTGAAGTACTCCATGGTTCAACTAAAAGTTTATTATTATTACCTATTATTTTACAGGATTCTCCTGCATGAGTAAAGAAAGCTGGTTATAAAACTTTTAGGTTTTGAAAGAGAATGTCTAAATTATGGGTATCTCCATCCCCTCATCTTCTAGCTGCTGGAAAGCATCAGAAAACAGGTAAGAAATGCATCGTGAAAGAATGTAGCGAGACGTCAGCAGCCACCACCACTGCCAAATTGCTTTTGGAGATCCTGGAATGACACTGTGGCTGACCCCCTCTTCTTTGCTTTCTGTTGAGAATGGTGTTCCCTCCATCCTGTCATGTATATTATCTGAAAACAAAAGAGGGTACCAACACAGTTTACACTTGAATGAAGTACAATATACTCCAGTGAAAGAGAAATATCTCGCTGAGGCAAATAAAAAGAGATGTGGTTAACCAACCCGAGTAAATCACATTGTTGCCACTAACAATTTAGTAAAAACTAGTCCACTTATTTTGAAGTCTCGGTCCTACTCACTAAGGAGCTCAGTTGTATTACTCCAGATGAAGTAAGATATAATCCCATTCAACTTCAAAACAATAACATCTTCAAGATCACTTTGTATTGAATTACACTTGCTTCTACTTGAGATTCTGTGGTGCCAAGGCATTGTTATCCAATATGAGATGATATTCAAGGCATTGTTATCCAATATGAGATCACATTCTTTTAAAACTTGCAAACTATTTCCAGCACCGAGTGCTAGAAGAACAGTGGTAACTGACAAGTCTTTTACCAACTTATTTCTTCTTTAATCTTAGATTTTTGCTATGTTTGACTGATAAAATAGCGTATTCAATGTCGCTTACTTCTACTTTAAAGGTTTATGTAATTTAGAAATGATCGGGAAAGAAACCAAGTGAAAACAAGTCAAAAAAAGCTCAAATGAAGAAAACGGGAGAAAAGCCCTCAGATATCACAAATGCGATCTGGACTTCGCAATTGCAAAGTCAACGCACAAGTAATAACCACAAATGCGAGAAGCTTGATCGCAATTGGGAAGTATAGAGATGGACGCATAAGTCGCAAATGCGAATGAAGGACCGCAAATGCGAAGTCAACCAGACAGTCAACGTTCGCAAATGCGGACTCCTTCATCGCAATTGCGAAAATAGGTGAAGAAGGCCAAGTTCGCAAAAGTGAACATCTTAATCGCAAATGTGATGGTCAACAGTATAGTTAAGGTTCGGAGTTTTCGCAAATGCGAACAACGGGCTTCAGTTCTAGGCAGATTTGGAATTTCACATTTTTTTGTCCAAACCCATAAATACCCGACCCGACCTAGCTGAATCTTTGGCATTTTTGGCATCCTCTTGACTAAGAATACAAGCTTTGGAGCTAGGGTTCTTGCACACACACTTGGGAGTTGAAGATTTTGGATGAGATTTTCTTACCCATTTCTTCAATTCCTTACTTTGTATTGAATATCTAAGTGTGTAGTATTTATTTCAATACCTGAATCTTGTTTCTGAAAATATTCATTATTAAAATCTGGATTAAATCTCTTGTTGTGTTTATGTATTGAATAATTTTTATTAATATTGAAGTGAGTTAATTGTTTCTTCAATTATCTTGTTCTTTAATGTTTCCAAAGAAACTAGCTAACCCTAGGTCTCGCCCATTAACTTTGAATTAATCTTGGAAAAGATAACTTGGGTTGGGAAAGATTAATTAACAAGAACGTGAGGCGTTAACACTCATTTTATAGCTTCTACCTGGGGATAAGATTGAACTACCTGTAGCCATATTTGGGTGCACTTAATCTTTTAGTTGTTTTAGGGATAATTCAATTAGGAAGTCTTGTTAGTCTTCGGAAGAAGCTAATAGAATATTATTATCCGAGGCTAATTAACATAAACTCGCTCATATTTGTAAAATCGTGAAATACATTGAATAGTTACTTGAGTGTAATTCCCGTTGCATCCATGCTTGTAGCCATTGATCATTTTACTCACTTTCTAGGTTAGTTTATATTTTTGCATTTATATATAATATTTTCTCAAAATCATAAGTGATAATTCTCTTACTTGCCTAATCGCCTACATATTATTTTCTATGGGATTCAATTGCGACGATTACTTCAGTTTTGTGATGAGTCATCCATTCGCAACTGCCAAGCTTTGTTCGCAAATGCGACAACTGTAGCCTAGACCTGACTTTTTCTCATTTCTCAATCTCCTTCTTGATGTCCCAAACACTTCCAAACTTCCTGAACTTGGTAGATTGATAAAAAATAATAAAATAAACTATTCTAAAAAGAAAAAACACAATGAAAATTTAAAAAATTTCTAATTCTTTTAGGGATAATTCAATTAGGAAGTCTAGTTAGCCTCCGGAAGAAGCTAATATAGAATTATTATCCGAAACTAATTAACATAAACTCGCTCATATTTGTAAAATTGTGAAATACATTGAATTATTACTTGAGTGTAATTCCTGTTGTAAGCCAACCGTTATAAGTGTTTGGCTTAGCATAATAAGTGATAATTCTCTTACTTCCCTAATCGCCTACATATTGTTCTTTGTGGGATTCGACCCTGACTCATAGTTGGAAAATTATATCGCCTGCTACCATGTCCGCTTACTCTTTGAGGAGTGGATTTGGACGTCATCAGTAACCCCTCCTTGCACATATGATCATCTAACAGATATTACACAAAAGCTTGATGGCTTGAGATATCTTTGAACTGTAACTCTCCCACATATGAGGAGCTAAGCAATCAGATTACTCTTGAGTATGCATGACGGTGCAGAGGGCGAGATGAATATATAGCGGCTAGAAAGCTATCACAAGGTAGGTATTTGGAAGGGGATAGAAAGAGTTAGTAGCATAAGATAAAACTTGTAATCTGAATAAGTTTTGACAGAATAAATCACCTCTAAAATTTGCAAGTACTACTACTACTACCAAACACAGAAGTATTTTGGAAGCACAATCACAGCTAAACCTGGGGTGCATAACGAAGAAAAGTTAGAGACAAATGCAAGAACGGCGAATGATTTGTCTAGTGGGAGAAAAACCTTCGATGTTTCTGAAATCGGCGATAAACGCAAGAAGCCAAGAACTAGTACATGATAGTAGGGAGAAGAAGAAGGAACCTTTCCAGCAGAATTGAAGTAGATGAAGACAACCTGATATAGATATGTGAACTGTTAAAACAGGCATCTAATGGAAAAGGTAAGGTGCGTTGAAAATGGGGGCACAAGGTCCAGCTGTATATAGTTAGAGGTTTCAGAACTTCAGCATAATGTGGGAGGTTTATCAAAATCGAATCATGGTTGGGTAAGAGCAAATCAGCAACAGTCATACAGGAGATTGATACAGATGCAGGGTGGTCGGAGACTCGGAGTACGAAGAGAAGAGTTCCATGTTTTTAGAAAAAGGTACAGCAAAGGGGAGAAACAAAAAGCAAGGCATCAAAAATCATATGCAACAGATGTCGCTATCTAGAGTTGGCCATGGGGGTGGAGGAGGCACACCTAGACCTAAACAGTATTATATAGTACATGAAACTGAAATGGGGTAAGCTAAATAGATTTCTGGCGAGATGCTTAGTAGGTCATTCTAATGACTCTTTTACAGTCCCCAAAATGACAGTCATTCAAAAGTGGCTCCAGAGAATGGAGAATGGACGGCTGGGATGGAGAATCAGTATCTTCTCTTTGAGTTCCCACCGAGGGTCGAAGCAGAGCGAATCAAATAGGGGAATGGTTCTTGAAAGGAAGAAAACTGGAATTCCAACGGTGGTCACCAATGATGGTACTATAATTTCCAAGGCTCACATGAAGTTTGCAGAACACCAGCGACTGGAAATATGATGGAAGAATTCTGAGGGGGAAGAATCTTCGGAGGGAGTGAACGGAAAGTCAGAAAAGATGACATGTCAGGCCACCAAGTGTCAATAAAGCAGTCTATTTATTTTCAGAGGGAGAAAGGTCCTCCTTCATGCCGAATGAAACCCTCCTATTGCAATGGGACGATTCTGATTCTACCAGTAATAGATACTCTGTGGTGTACGAGGCTTACAGGTGGATGAGGAGAAACATATTGATAGCTAACAAGCAGCTCGGAGTTCGTTTTGGAAGGTTTGAGAATGAAGCATTTGACTATTCGTGAAGCTGGAGGCAAAAGGGCTTTGAGACAACAGCAGATTGGTGTAAGAACACTGAACAGAGATCATCGAAAGGGGAAGAACGAGGTTAAAAAGCTGGGATTCGAGACTAACTATGGGGAAAGTTCTGAGGAAGCAGGGGTAGGAAGAACAAACGAAGATTAAAATTATTTCATGGAACGTGCGGGGACTAAATAATCAAGATAAATGGAGACTACTGATCTACTTCATAAATGAAAGCAGGGGTGCTGTGCATACAGGAAACGAAGGTGGAAGTGGAAAAACTAATTAAGCAGATCTGGAGCTGTACACCGGCAGATTGGAGGGAATAAAACCGTCAGGTAGTAAAGGGGGTATCATTATTTTACGGGATGAAAGGCAATACCATGCGTGGAAATTCAAGAGGGCAGCCTCACACTTTCATGCTTATTCGAGGTGTAAATGAAGAGTTTAAATGGGGCTTCTCAGAGGTGTATGGGCCACATAAAGACAGCGACAGAAGATTATGGTTGGAACTGGTAGCAATCGGAGGCCTATGGGATGTACCATGGCTTTTGGTGGGCGATTTTAGTACAACTAGACAAGAGGAAGAAAGGAAAGGATGCAGAAGCACAAGAGCAATACAAAGATTTATAGAATTTAAACAGAAGATTACTTTTGTGGATCCTCCTTTACATGATGGATTTTACACCTGGTCCAGAGATGATAATAAGTTCCAAGCATCAAGAACTGACAGATTCCTCATGTCAATAGAATGGGATGAAGTCTTCAGAAACATCAGGCAGAAATTTTTGACCAAAGCATTTTCAGACCACAAACCTTTGATGCTGAAGTGCGGTGATTGGTAGCCAAGTAGCACATAATTAATTTTGAAGATATGTGGCTAAGTGTCACACCTCCTTTTTACACACCACCCGAAGGATAGTATATAAGGGAGTATTTCCAATTTAAGTGACATTATTCGAAATGGGATTATTTATTCAATTCAGAGTCGCCACTTGGGATGGTTTGTTTTCTGGTGTCCCAAGTCACCGATTTATTTTTAAATCCCAGATCGAGGAAAAATCGACTTTCCTTTTGAAGTCTGCGAACCAGAAATTCTGAATAAGGAATTCTGTTAACCCGAGTGAAGGTGTTAGGCACCCTCGGATTCCGTGGTTCTAGCACGGTCGCTTAAACCATTATAATTGGCTTATTATCTGATTTTAATGCATGTTTTAGCCTATGATACAATTTTAACTTTATAACCGCTTTTATTCAATTTAAAGAAGATTTAACGTCGTCTAAAACATGTCTTTGGACCGCGTCACATGAAATGTACCCGCAATCCGAAACACATTTTATTCAACGTTATTAAGATTTGGATTTGGGTCACATGAAATGCGCACCCGAGTTTAGGAAGGTAATTTTAAGATTACGCGCCTAAAGCAACTACGCGTTTTCAACTTTGCGAGGGCCGTGGAAAATTCAACTAATGGCACACCTCGATTCTAATTTTAAAGGATTGTATTCAACTAAAGCAAACTACGAATGTTTATAATTATTGTCCTAAACTAAATTAAGATTATTGCATGCCCAAGAGTATTATGGAATTGTTTTGAAAAAATGTGGCAGTTAATTATGGAAATGTGAGCTAGATTATAGATTACATGAAATTGGGCTCTCTAACATGGCTCAATAAAGTGTCATTAGGGAATGGACCTAGCATAACTTCAACATGTTTGGCCCAGTAACCTTTTTTCAAAATTAAACCCATAATCAAATAGAAAGGCCCAAACCTTAAATTTGCCTTTAGCTTTCCAGGTATTCTGCATTAGAACACGCCCACGCCTAAGGATTCAAGGCTACCGAACCAATCAGCATCTTAATAGGGAAATTTTAAAGAAAACAGTGGAATAGTTCATGTAATCACTGAATAATATATAGGTATAGAAAGGCAACAACAGTGAAATTTCTACACCCATGCTGTAATCCACGCAATCACAAAAAAATGGAACAAACCAAAGCATTAACTTTCCACCAAAACAGAACAAATAACAACAAAATATTATATCAGACAATTAATGAGACAAAGCGGCAAAATCAAAGAAAATCCAACGAAAAGCATGATATTACGAGTGAAATAGTAAGAAGAAGTAGAATGAACCTCTAGTGAATCCGAATCTTTGCAACAACAAAATCACAAGCCTTCGAGCCCAATCCTTTACAGATTAACACAAATCTTCCAATATACACGATAACACGAACTTCAGGTGAACTAGACCGGAGCTAACAAACTACGACCTCGTCCGCAACCTCGAACTCGACTGAAATTTTGTGTTTCAAGGATTATTCGGCTGATCTGAGCTACTGCTTCAGGGTCGTTTCTGGGCCTGTTTCGTAGCAAGTTTTGTTGCGTTTCTAAAGCTATTTCGAGGCTGTTTGGTGGCTGTTCAGAAGCAGCAGCGCAACGATTTTGGAGCTGGAATTTTCTGCGTTTTTGGCTAGAGTTTGGATAGTTTTGGGGTTGAAACAGGGGTGGAGAAAGTCAAATTTCAATGAAGTTTTGGGGCTGGACAGTGGAGGTCAGCTTTGTGTTAGGGTGTCTCGTTTGTGATGTGCGGCTGACTTCATGAAGAAGCAGCAGCAGTTGCCCGTTCTCTTGTTGATTTCTTCATGAAGAAGACCAAGTTTGCTGGGGGGATCTCAAGGTCTAAAAAAAACGGCGCTTGATTTGAAGGTTTTTGGTGTTCCGATTTTGTGAAGAAGATGGTGTCTCTTTTTTTTTTTTAGTCTCCCTCCCTTTTGGGTGTATATGGTGTATTAATTTATAGGGGATAGGGATTAGGTTGTACTGCGTCTTTTTGTGTTAAGTTCTTAGGTTCTTTTTATTTATTTTTGTTCCAAAGAATAGTCTACAAAGGTCTCTAGGCTTAATGGACTAATTCGAATTGGGCCTAGAATTGGACTCTAAAACTCTTAAAATTGTGATCCAACACCTTAATTGACTCTTTTTTTTAAAAAAAAAAGGATAAAAATACTACACAATGCAAAACTAACACTGATTAATTAAACTGAACATGGAACTATTTTTGTATTTTTCGAAATTATATAAAGATTAAAATAAGGTACTATTTTTGTATTTTTTTTAAATTTATGAAAAATACATGAACTAAATTTTTTTTTTTGTAATTTTTATTTTTCTTGTAATAAAATAAAGTAAAAGAGTCAAAATTAATCAAAATAGCTATATTAGGCCTAAATTAAATTTTTACATGCTAAAATATAGAAAATCTTGGGGAGGGTCAAAAATCACATGTCTACAGCTGCCCCTCTTTGACTGGAAACGCGAAGAGTTTTCAGACAAAGAACGACTAGACTGGTTTTTGACCCGACCCTTATTCAGAAATGCCAAAAGCTAACAGAAATGAGAATGTGACCGAGCCCTGGTATTTGAGCTGACTACATATCCTTGGCTACAAAGGAATCATGCCACGTGTAGTTCAGAGGTGAATGAGGAGATGGAGTACCGAGGTGGAGAGCCGAGCGAGGTGCCGTCGAGGTTCCGGTTCGCGGTCCCGTTCATTACATCAAAATCAAAATTAAAAAGAGTAACTAAGCCTATCAGCTACGAGTTACAAGATTCCTATCTATAAATCTCTTGAAGCTTGATCTTGAGTCTTGGCTAGGTCTTGCTGCAGACTCCGATCTGAATCTTGATGCTCGTAAGCTGTAGGTGTTTACTTCTTTCCGCAGCATTGGGTCAAAACGGGATCAGCGGAGCTTGTGACTTCAATCAGACTTTGAGCAATCCGCACCCTTGTTTGCTTCACATTTGATTCCATTTCTTTTTGTTATTTTCTTCTTTTATTTCTTCTGGATTGAGATTCATTCCATCAGCTACCTCGGATCCTATGCCTCGAGGTCAAACCTGCTCAGACACCAAAACAAAAAAACGAACGAAATTTTTCTGCCCCAGTTTTCACTAGAAAAATTTCGTGAGTTATTTGTGACACATATCTAAGCAATAAAATCAGGATTGTGTATCCTTGGGAATGGATCCAAGTTATGACCGGGTTATGCCGAAAAAAGAAAAAGGGTCTCGGGTTATGCCGGGACGGAAAGAAGAAAGATCCTCGGGTTTTGCCGGGATTTGAAAAGAAAAAGCTCCTTGGGTTATGCCAGGGAGATCCTCGGTTTTTTGGCCGGGATTTGAAAAGAAAAAGGTCCTTGGGTTATGCCAGAGAGATCCTCGATTTTTGGCCGAGATTTGAAAAGAAAAGGCTCCTTGGGTTATGCCAAGGAGATCCTCGGTTCGGGATTTGGAAAGAAAAAGCTCCTCGGTTTTTTGGCCGGGAGATCCTCGGTTTTTTGGCCGGGATTTGGAAAGAAAAAGCTCCTCTGTTTTTTTTTGGGCCGGGAGATCCTCGGTTTTTGGCCGGGATTTGGAAAGAAAAAGCTTCTCGGTTTTTTGGCCGGGAGATCCTCGGTTTTTGGCTGGGATTTGGAAAGAAAAGGCTCCTCGATTTTTTGGCCGGGAGATCCTCGTTTTTTTGGCGGGGATTTGGAAAGAAAAAGTTCCTTGGTGTTTTGGCCGGGAGATCCTCGATTTTTGGCCGGGATTGGGAAAGAAAAGTCTCCTCGGTTTTTTTGGCCAGGAGATCCTCGGTTTTTTGGCCGGGATTTGGAAAGAAAAAGCTCCTTGGGGAATGCCAGGGAGATCCTCGGTTTTTTGGCCGGGATTTGGAAAGAAAAAACTCCTCGGTTTTTTAGCCGGGAGATCCTGGTTTTTTTGGCCGGGATTTGGAAAGAAAAAGGCTCCTCGATTTTTTGGCCGGGAGATCCTCGGTTTTTTGGCCGGGAGATCCTCGGTTTTTTTTTTGGCCGGGATTTGGAAAGAAAAAGGCTCCTTGGGGAATGCCAGGGAGATCCTCGGTTTTTTGGCCGGGATTTGGAAAGAAAAAGGCTCCTCGATTTTTTGGCCGGGAGATCTTCGGTTTTTTGGCCAGGATTT